GTCAGAAAACTGAGGAAAAGATAATACAAATTTGCAGTAACTTGCAGGCTCAAAAAAAAAGGGGGAAAAAAGCAGAGGATGGAATGCAGGAGAGATAAATTTTGAGTGGAAGGAATAATACTAGGATGAAAGGAAGAGAAACATAAGTAATTGAGAGATATAAAAATAGTAAGAATTAAAAAATAAAAAGTCAGTTAAAAAAAACAAGACAGAATGAAGCAATCAAACAACAACAGTCAAAAAGAAAGAGAGAGAGAGAGACAGAGAGAGAGACAGAGAGAGAGAGAGAGAGAAACCTCTTGTTGGTTTCTAACTGGCCAAACCAGTTTTTCTGGTCTTGCTGGCTTCAGCAGGCTGAGGGGCATTCAGAAATGCTTTTCACTCTTCCCAGTCAAAACTCAGTCAGTCTCTAGGGTACTGTCCCCAGGGCCAGCAGGGCACTCTCTCCAAAGCCAATCCAATGTCCCCCTGCAGGACACTGGATGTGGGTATGGGTGCTCCCAAGCATGCTCTCCGGAACTCACTGCCACATGGTCTCCTGGGCTCTGGGGCCCCGCAGAGCTCTTGTATCTTTTCCGGGTTCACGGCGCAAGCTCCGGGGATCACGAGGAGACCGGCCCTTCCCCCAAATTTCACCGCGGCAGGTTCTATGTTCTCGGGAAGCACCCACATCTTTTCTGGGTTCACGGTGTAAGCTCCAGGGATCACGAAGGGGCTCGCACTTCCACCAATTTCCCCGCTGTGTGCTCCAGGAACACCCGAAGCAACACGTCCCCTATGGGTTCACAGTGTGAGAGTCAGAACTCCCAGAGGGGTGTGTGTTCCACCAAGTTCACCACTGCAGGCTCCAGAAACCCAAGAACCCTCAAGTTCTTTCCTTGTTCAGGACTGTGAGGTCTGGGGCTTCCACAGATCCACACTTCTACCGGCCAGGGGGTGCTGGTGCATGTCCAGGCCACCCCTGGTCTCGCAGGCTGGGGGCACTCACCCCTCCCAGGGCTGTGCATGGGTGTCTGCAGCCCCTGCGAGACTGTCTCCCAGTCCAACTCCCCTCTCTGTGCCTTCAAGCAACAAGGCCTCCCCTCGTGTTGCTCAACCCCCATTGTCCCAGGGAGGAAGCAGTGACTCTGCTCTCTCGGGTGCCCTGAAGCAGACCCAGGAGCACTGGGCCTGGGGACTGCAACCCCTCTGGTCCCCGTGCTGATCCCTGGGTCCCTGTTGTCCTGAAACAGTCTCCTTACCATCTGGTTTTTCAATGTCCACTACAATTTTTGATGTCTTGTTTTCATAAAGGTTGCAATAACCTAGGCCCCTTGCTCTGTTCCTCCACCAATCTGCAGGTTTCTCTTCCCTGCATAGAAGAAGGGGATCACGTTCCCTCCAACAAAGCTGCCATCTTAGGACCTTAACTCGATTAACCTCTTTCGAGAGCTGGTTTCATTTGCTAATGTTGAATGCATGCATGTTATAATTAACTAGTTTTATTTCAAGGTATGCTATAAATTCCTCTCTCAAGGAGTTGCAAAAATATGAACAGAAGGTTAAAAAAAACTTTCATAGGAAACTCCCTCATGGCAGTAAATTTGAGCAATGAAAAAGTGCTCTGAAAACCTGAGCTGGGTACATTATGCCTGGCTCTCAAGAAAAAATTACAAGGCACCAAAAGGTGGGGTGGGAGACACAATTTTAAGAGACAAAGGAAGCACCAGTATCAGACATGGCAGGGATATTGGAATTACCAGACTGTAAATTCAAAGCAACTATGACTAATAAGGGCTCTAATGGCAAAAGTAGACAACATGTAAAAACAGAGAGCACAGACAGCAACATAGAAATCCTAAGAAAATTTTAAAAAGACACTAAAGATAAAAAATTCTATAACAGAAATGATGAATGCCTCTAATGGGCTTATTAGTAGACTGGACACAGCTGAGGAAAGAATCTCTGAGCCAGAGGATATATCAACACAATACTCAAAAATCAAAAAGCAAAGAGAACAAATGTTGAAAAAAACAAACAGAATATCCAACTACTATGGCAAAACAATGAAAAGTATAATATGTGTGGAATGGGAATACCAAAAGGGGAAGAAAGAAAGAAACAGAAGAAATATGTAAAACAATAAGACAGAATTTAACCAAATTAAATAAATATAAGAAACATCCCATGTTCATGGGTATGAATATGTGGATTCAATATTGTCAAAATGTCATTTCTTCCCAATTTGATGTTTAGATTCAATGCAAACCCAATTAAACTGATTCTAAAGTTTGTATGGAGAGGCAAAAGATATACAATAGTCAAAACAATGTTGAAGGAGAATAACCAAGTTGGACTATCTGTAAGGTTTTCTTAGACCCTGCTGAGGAAATAAACAGCCAATTAGCCATGGAAACAGGCAGATGAGCTTTATTTTGGAAGTTTGTGCTCCCAGCGACGTTTTTCCCCTGCCCAGAGAAGGGGCTGAGAAAAGACCACGTGGAAGAAGGGAAAGGCTGAGAGTTTTATAAGGCTTGACTTTGTGCGGGAGCCAAGGATTGGTTCTTGGTGAACAAAGAAGCAACTTAGCATTGGTGGCTCCTGGTCGGATGTCAGTCACCTCTTCTGGATCAGAGTTCAGTTGCCATATTACTTGTAGTCCAAACGGTGGCCATATTTGTAGTCCAAAATGCTAATTGTAACTAGATTCCCACTTGTCCTACCCTGCCCATCTTGACACCATCATTATCCTACTTCATGACATAAAGTAAAGTGACAGAAAATCAAGAAGTATGGTGTTAGCAAAAATCAGACAAATAGGTAAATGGATCAGAATAGAGAGCCCAGAAATAAACCCACATAAATAGTCTTTGTTAAAGAAGCAAAGACAATACAATGGGGCCAAGATAGTCTTTTCAACAAATAGTGCTGGAACTGGACACCCACATGCAAAAAATGAACCTGGACATAAACATTACACCCTTTGCAAAAATTAACTCAATGTGGATCACAGACCTAAATGTAGAATGTAAAACTATAAAACTCAGAGAAGATATTGTAATAGAAAATGTAGATATACTTATAGGCAATGATCTTTTAGATACAACACCAATAAACTTAGACTTGTATCTTAATTTTATTAAAATTAAAACTTAATTTACTGCCCTGGCTGGTGTGGCTCAGTGGATTGAGTGCTGGCCTGCAAACCATACGGTCACCAGTTCGATTCCCAGTCAGGGCCCATGCCTGGGTTGTAGGCCAGGCCCCTGGTGTGGGGTGCACAAGAGGCAATCACACATCAATGTTTCTCTCCCTCTCTCACTACCTTCCCCTCGCTCTAAAAATAAATAAACAAATAAATATATTTTTTAAAAAGCCATATGCTCTCTCCAAAAGAAAAAGTTAAGAGACTGAGACTACAAGCCACAGACCAGAAGAAAATAATTGTAAAAGACACATCTGATAAAGGACTGGTACCACAAATATACAAATAACTCTTAAAACTTAACAAGAAGAAAAAAAAACAATTAAAAACTGGGAAAAGATTTTGATCTCACCAAAAAAAATATACAGGTAGCAAATAAACATATGAAAAGATGCTCTACATAAGTCATGGAGAAAATGCAAATTTTCTATTAAAATACCAAAATCTAGAAAACTGACAAAACCAAAGGCTGTTGAGATGTGGAGCTAAAGGAACTTTCATACATGGCTGGCAGAAATGCATTCCAGGGAAGTGCAAGTATACACCTTCTCCTCAGGGTCTGTCAGGGGTTAGCAGGGAACTTCTAGGGGTGCAGGTGCAGGGGTGTGTTAACCCTCTTGCCTTGTAATTCCCACCCAACTCTGTCTGGAGAGATACAGTTGCCAAAGATTAGACAACATGACTTCCACTCTTGGGCTCTACCTGGTCTGAAATACCTTTCTTCTTCCCTATCTGCAAATGTAGCTTAATGGTTTAGAGTGTGAGTTCTGGAGTCTGACTTCAAGGGCAGATCCCAGTTCCTCTATTCACTTTCTGAGTGACTGAACAAAGCCCTCCTCCACCTCCAGCCTCAAATAGACAGTAAAGCTCATGACAACACCTACTTACCACAGTGGGATATAATTCATAAGATGATGAACAACAAATGCTTGGCACAGTACCTGATATAGTAGAATCAATAACCTGTCCTTGTTATTGTGGTTGTTATCATTATTAACTTCATATTTAGCCTTGGTTTATGCCCTGTCCTTTATAAAATCTTATCTAACCACTTCTGGTCAAAATAATTTCTCTCTTTTCTTTGAATTATCAAAAGCATTTACTTTTCCTATCACTGATTTGGCAGCTAATATTTACTGCCCTGCATCCTGGGTTACCTTTCTGTGTAATACTGTTTTATTTCTTCCTATCAAGTATAAGATTTTTAAAGAAAAGGCCTAAGTCTAAGTTGTCTTATGTATCTTGGCTTTTTATGTGATTGGGACCTTTACATCTTGTCCGTGGAACCCACCCCACCCTCTCCATTTAAAGGTAAAGTTAGCTGAGTCAGTTATTCTAAGAGAAAATTGTTCACGAAAAGCAAGGGTTAGCTTGGGATACTGAGGATGGAAATGGAAGTAGAAAATAGGTTGGGATCCTCAATTCTATTTCCAGATGGAGATAGAATAGAAGGAATTTTTTTTTAAATAACTGTCTCCTTTCATTTATGATCTTCCAGTAGATCGCAATAAATTAAGGGGAGAAAAGGAGCCCTGTCATCGTTTGCACCCATTTCTCCCGCCTCTTCTTTCCCAGGTAGGACGACAGATACAGCAAACAGCAGAGCTTGTGGGGAGAACAGGTGGGGTGCCAAAGCTCCTTGCAAGGACACTAACTACAGCTCAGGAACTGAGAAAGTGGACCCAAAAATACTAACTTCCAGGCCACCACCTCAATTCCAACGCTGGGAAACCGGAGGTTGGAGACTCAGCTCCCCAAGCTGGTGTGGGAGGGGCCGAGGGGTGTGGAACCTATCTTGCTCCGCCCCTGGAGCTGGTCGGTGACTGCCAGGCAGCACCTCAGGGCTGCGCAGGCTCTTTTCGGGGCGCAGCCTAGAGAGTAGGGAGAGCAGTTTCCTTGCTCAAGTTAGCAGGAAGGCAGCAAGATGAGCTTAGCACCAGCATTTCTGAGCGCGGAGGAAGTTCAGGGCCACCTCCGCAGCTCCAGCCTCCTCATCCAGCCTCTGGAGGTGGCTCTGGCGAACTTCTCCAGCGGGCCACAAGGAGGGGTCACGCAGCCAGTGCGCACCGTGGTGCCGGTGGCCAAGCACAGGGGGTGAGTAAGGAAAGCCAGGGCTGGTGGTTGGGGGTAGGGTGCTGGAGGAACTGGGAAGGAGGAAGAGTACAGGTACGGATGAAGCAGAAGGAGAGAAGGAGTGTTTGCCTAATCACTGCTAATAACAGCAGCCACCTAACACGTACACTCCCCAATGTGCCAAGTGCGCTCTTTACAGGAATTACCTTGTTTAAATTCAACACACTCTCCTTACAGGTAGGTATTCATGCAGTATTTTTCCGGTGGGAAAACTGAGACTCTGAGAGGTTAAGTGAAGTACCCAAGGTTGTCCAGTTAATAAGTGGCAGAACTGGGATGGTTTTTCTCATCCAGACCTGGACTCTTGAACTTGCTGTGTATATTGTCAAAGGGAAAGGCAGAGGAATGGGGGTGTGAGAGGGCCAGTATGGCAGTAATAAGAAAAGAGAAAGGAAGGTATGTGGGGCCAGCATTGGTGGGGAGAGGTTGAAGCTGCTCCCTCTCTCCTTGTAGTTTCCTGGGGGTCATGCCTGCCTACAGTGCTGCAGAGGACGCTTTGACCACCAAGTTGGTCACCTTCTACGAGGGTCACAGCACCACCTCCACTGTCCCCTCCCACCAGGCCACTGTGCTACTCTTTGAGCCAAGCAATGGCTCCCTTCTGGCGGTGAGCAACTCCTTGCCCTGGGGTGGAGTGGGGCCCTGGCCCAGAGCCAGACTAGGAATTAATTCTCCATGAGCCCAGAGGAGTTTTGATTATGACTACACATGCCCTTCTCTAAGTGGCTGGATACCAATGGCAGTGAAGGTTATCTGTGAGCATGAATCTGCTTCTAGATCCATAACCCAACAACAGAGCCCACTGCTGCTTCTAATGTGTGACATTGTAGAGGTAATCTCATCATTCTCTCTGGCCCTATACCAGTTACTGCAAATATGCAACTTGAACAAAGCCAGTAGCCAAGGAAATATTTAGTGAATCTCTGTACTGTGGAGGAAAAGGGGTATTCTGTAACCCCTGGAAATCTTTTCTGAGGGGTACCCAGTGTCCTGTTTTAACATTTGACAGTATAATACAATAGTGGTAGCCCACTTTTATTGAGCATTTTGTGTGTGTCAGGCTTTGTTCTAAACACTTCACGTGTATTAACTTTTTAACACAACCATTCTGAGGTAAGTAATATTATTACCCCCATTTTTCAGATAATGAAACTGAATCATAAAATAAGTGTGCCAAATTTACTTACCCAGGCTTAGGCAGTTAGTAAGAGGCATGGCTGGCCTTCAGACCTACTCAGTCTAAGTCCAGGGCCTGTACTTTCTTAAGACTATGCTATATTGCCTTTCTAACTGCCACCTGCTGAGAGTACTTACTGTGCGCCAGGCAGGAGAAACAATCTCATTAAATTCTTTCACTGTCCCTTTGTGGGATTTTCTTATTACACCCCCACCAATTTCTGTTGCAGTCCCAGAGTCACTTTGTTTGACATCACACAGATGGTTAATGAAAGACCCAAGAATGCCTACTCTATACCCTCCAGGCTGACTGTGATGCCAGGCATCTGAGAACTCGTCAGGGACAAGGACAATCACAATTTCACCTGAACCACCCCTGGGTCCTTAGCTCTTCCTGCTCCCCAAGGAACCTAACTGTTCATTACTCCTCTGGGAAGAGTATCTGGCTCTTCCCACCTATACTCATCACATGGAGATGACATCCATCAGTGGTTTCCCAGAAAAGTGTGACCAGCTCAAACTTCCCAGTTAAATGATAAGGCTTTAGATCTTTCCTGAATCTGTTCAGTAGTGAGGGATTCACTTTCTTGTCTATAAAATGAGAATACTAATACCTCCCAGTGAGGATCAAGATGAATAACTTATAAGTAGAGGAGAAGAGGCCGGCATAATTCAGAATCACTTGGGGAGCTTTTAAAAACAAGGATGTCTGGCCTGGCTGGCGTAGCTCAGTGGATTGAGCGTGGGCTGCGAACCAAAGTATTGCAGGTTTGATTCCCAGTCAGGGCACATGCCTGGGTTGCAGGCCACGGCCCCCAGCAACCACACATTGATTAAAAAATAAAAATAAAAATAAAATAAAAATAAATTAAAAAATTAAAAAAAAAACCACAAGGATGTCTGCCTGCCCTCCCAGAGAGTAAGATTCAGTTCATCAAGGGGTCCTATCCCAGTATCTGTATTTTCACAAATCTCCCTGAATATATAGCAGGAGTTGAGAGCCACTGAGGTAGAGTTTCATGGCTCTTGCACAGATGTCAAATGACTTATTCCTCAGGTTCCTCCTTAATTTGGTGTTTTGAGAATCCCAGGGCAAGAAAATGAGTTATTCTTGAGGGTTCAACATGTGCTAGATGTTTTCATGTATGTCAATGCATTTCTCCACAAAAGCCTCTGTATGGTTGGCATTTTCTTTGTTTTTACAGGCGAGGAAAATAAGTGCTTAGAGATTAAGATATTGGTTCAAAGTTGCATTTCTTGTAAGTGAAGGAATTGGATACAGGTCTGACACCAAGCTCCTCCTCTTTGTAGGATATGATAATACTTCCTATGGATACTCTTTTAGAATGCCTTCTCTCCACTTAAGTAGTGAATAGGGGTGCTCCTTGCTCACTGTCTTTTTCTCCAAGGTTATGGATGGAAATGTCATAACTGCAAAGAGAACAGCTGCAGTGTCTGCTATTGCCACCAAGGTAAGACTAGTGCTTGCCTGTGTTGTTGAGGTGAGTTGGTGGGTTGGATCAGGTGTCTCAAGCTTGAATGTCTAAGGGAGAGGTAGGGAACTTATTTTAGTTTTCCTTTAGACAGAGCTGGAACTCCACATGCCAAATAGGGGGTGTCTGGTGAACACAGTGTTTCATGAATTTATTAACTACCATTTAATGAGCATGGCCAGATTCCAGGTACCTTACATGCATTATTCCTGATCTTCATCTCAATCTTGCACAGTAGGTATCATTACCTCTAGTTGCCAGGAATAGGGAATGTGGTTCAGAGAGGGTATATAAGTTGCTTAGGATCACACAGCTACTAAATGGCAGAGCAAGAATTTAAAATTTGACCCCTTTCACTCCCAAGTTTGCTATGTGCCCCTGTACCACACAGTTACTGGTAAGTCTATAGTTGCCCCATAGGCTAGAGCCAGTACTGTACAAGGAGAAGAGAAATAGAGCCAAACAGATCCAAGCTAGACTCCTATGTTCATTCAGCCAGTATTCACTGAGACTCTGCCACATGTCAGTCACTGTTGAGGATGTGGCAGTGAACAAAACAGAGAGTGGCACATATAGGGGAGGTTAGACTATAAACAAAAAATTAAACACATAGTATGATTGCTGAAAAGATAATTAGCAAACAAGAAACATCTTTTGAGTTTAACAATATGTCAGGATTTGCTTTAAAAAAACACTGCCACCAGCAACAAAAAACAAATAGTATATTGGAAGGATGAAAATGAAGCAAAGTTGAGAGTATTGGGGAGGGATGAAATTTTAAATTATCAAGAAGAGACTTCACTGAGAAGGTGACATTTAAGTAAAGACTGAAGGAAGTGAGTAGAATGGGGAGGAAAGGATGCACTCCTCAGGCAGAAGGAATTGATGGGATGGTGCTGTTCCTAAGTAGAGTCAGGGCATCCTATAACAGTATTATTAGAGGTTAGAAGAGTTTTAGAGCTAAGAAGAGGACACCTAGAACACTGAGTATGGGGAATATAAAGAATATGGAATCTTTTACATTAAATGGAGAAGGACAAGTTCTGGGGACGCTGGTTTATGAGATGTAAGTATGAAGGAAATGTGATCTACCAGAGGGTGGGACCAGCAAAGACCAGGTGTTCAGATTGTGAGTGTGTTAATGGGGAGGAAAGGTGAGGATTGACCTGGTAATTGGATAAGAAGGCGTAGACTAGGTACATACCTTGATGAACTGGTTTTTAGAAATTATACCCAGGTGCAACTCAAATTAAAATGATAAATGGGCTTCTTTAGAAATGTCCATTGGTAACTTAGGAACAGAGTGACTCTAACATTGCCTTGCACTGGTAGGTGACTCTGGTCCTTTTCAAAATAATTTCTAACCCATTGTCTCCACTTATCTTTGGATTTCAGTGAGAAAGGCAGAGCAAACATTATTGACCTTATTTAATGCACAAGGAGATGGAGACTAGAGTTTCCTGAAGTTACACACCAGACAGCTGTGGGGTCTTCCAAGGCTTCCTGGTCTTCTTGTTCCAGATCAGTAGCTTCCAACCCAAGCTATGCAGCAGTATCAGCTGGGAAGTTTAAAAGAAAAAAAATTAAGTTCCCAAAACTCTGAATCAAAATCACTTGGGGTGGGGTTCAAGAACCTAGTTTTTTTAATAGTCTCTGGTCTATTCTGATGATCAACCAATATGGGAACCAAAGTAGTCTAGACCCACATCTTGCTGCCACTGTGCTTTGTTGCATTGACAAAAACCTGCACTCCCAGAAGAGCTGAGAATCATTGGACTGATGATTCAGAGTGTAGGCTGAAACTCCACAGCTCTATTTCCAGGGGCTCAGATAGGGTATTCTGTAAGGAGCAAAGAGTCTGTTTTACTCTTTGCCCTATAAGAGTACAGCGTTTTCTTTTTCACCTCTTCTTTTTCATTTAGGGCTTTTGGGAGGAGAAGCATAGGAATTCTCAGGTCTGACAAACATTGTACCTTCTTTGCATTTAGGTTAAATAGAACCTGAGTTGGGAGCTCTAACATGCTTCCTCAGGGAACACTATATATCAGGGTTTATCCTTGGCATGCATTTATTCAACAAATATTTGAATGCCAACCAGGTGCCAGGCTCAGTGCTCAGACACAGAATGGTGAGTAAAAGCATCACCAAGTCCATTTAGACAGACAAATACTAATCCAAAGATCACATCAATAAATCTGAAACCCTGCCAAATACATTGAATTAAAGGAATGAAGTGCTGTGAGAGTGTAAAACAGGGATCTTGGGAAGGCTTTTCCTGTGTAAGGGATATCTGATCTGAGATCTGAGGGATAATAGTAGTTAGTCATTGAGGGGCAGAGGGGAAAGTATCAGGCCCAGGAAACAATTTGTGCAAAGGCCCTGTGTTTGACAGAGGCACATGTGCTCAGGAAACTGCAAGGAGACAAGTGTGGCTAGAGGACAGGAGAGCAAGGCATGAGAAGGGACTGGAGAGCTCGGAGGGCCAGACCATGCAAATGCAAATAAAACACAGACTTTCCAACTCTTTAAGTGAGAAACTAACAGATTCATCTATGGTTTTTTTTTTTAATTATCTGCATGCTTACAAAAAAAGAATGAAGTGCCACTAATCCTGTTATGGTTTAATAAATTTTATAAACATTATACCATTTACAAAAAGAGATATCAGATATTACATTACTACCAAGGCAACAAATTATCAAGTACGGCAACCCATCAAAATTAGACATTTAGTTTAAGAGGTTGAAGGTTATTTTTACAGGACACTAACAATTTCTGAATCCCAAGTATATACTTCCAAAAATAGATTGATATTAACTGAGAACGGAAGACGATTTAGTTAAGAAAAAAATCACCTCGTTCTCCTTATTGGACAGATGTGTAAGAGTGGTAGTTTTGTGGATGCTGTCATTTTGAAACCTTTTCAAAGTAGATTCTTTGAACTACAGTTTATGTCACAGGACAGTATTTCTTCTGAAGCTATCAGAGAACATCTGGTAATATTCCTGAGACTTTTTGGCCAGTAATTAATGATTAAGAAGATGTTTGCATTTAAGGCTACACTTCAGAGTTTCAATAATTAGCATTGTAGGAAAGAGCAGACCCAAGAAGCTGAAATTTTTGCTAAATAAAACAGAAAAAGCAGAACAGGGTCTCACTTTAAAAAATGGTTCAGGAGACAGTGATGGGGGAAAATTGTGCACAACTGTAATTGAACAACAATAAAAAAAGGTTATTACAATTGCTATTTCTGAGTAAATTAGGCAGGCAACTTTAAAAAAAAAAGGTTTGAGGGGCAAGTGATGTCTTTCCTCTATACCAGTATTTTTCAAGATTCTCAAGCAATCTGGAGACATTTTTGGTTGTCTTAGTTGAAGAGGAGTAGATAGGAGGTGCTACCAGCATCTAATGGATAGAGGTCAGGGATGCTGCTAAATATATTGTAATGCACAGGACAGCCCACCCACCCATTTCCTGTCAACAAAGAGTTATCCAGCTCAGATTTCAGTAGTCCTGAGGTAAAGAATCCCTTCTCTGTTTCTTATAGGTAATAGTATATATGTGCCAAATATGTGCAAATAAGATAGTTCCTGTCTTCATGGGGCCTATATATCAGTACAGGAAAATAAAACTGTAAACAAATAAGTGCTATGAAGTGATGAATCCTTTCAGGGAGGTCAGAAAGACTTCCCTGAGATGGCAAGATGAGTTGGTGATAGAACCCCACTTCCAATTGCAGACACACATACACCCTCTGTCATTGCCACAAATACCAGCTCTACATTCCTCTTTAAAGGAAGACAGAGGCTTGAGGAAGGATAAACAAAGAGGGTCTTAGAAAATACAGCTGAGAACCCTGGGTGTCAAGGGCACCTGGATTCCAGAACTATGAGAAGTGGGTGGCTACCATGGGGCAGCACAGGAGAAAGAATATGGGCTTTGGAGAATGAAAGATGTGGTTTTATAGCCCTCCTGCATCATGGGATAGTTGTAGGGCCCTGAGCAAGTTACTTAACCTCTCTAGATCACAATTTCTTCATCAGTAAGAGGAATATAGACATAGGAGTGTCTAGCTGATGTGGTCATTGTTTGGACTAAATGAGATTATGCAGATAAAGTATTGGTATATATTAGATGCTCAGTGAAAGCACCTTCCTTCCCTCCCTACTCTCACAAGAGGAACAGAAACACTAAATGACATCTCCCTGATTTCCCAAGAGATTTTAAAAAATATATTTATCATCTAACACTATAAATTTAAAGGGTACAATGTGTTAATTTTGTATATTTATATATTGTAACATGATTGCCATTATAAGGATAATTAGTATGTCTATCATTTATACAATTATCCTTTCTTTTTAGTGGTTAGAATAATTAAATTGTTAAAAAGTTTGCTGATTATAATACAATATTGTTGACTATATTCACTATACTGTACATGAGATCTCTAGGGCTTAATCTAAAAAAAGCCAAACTGGTGAAAACAGAGTTAAATGGTGGTTACAAAGGGACAGGGATTGGGGGACAGGACAGATGTTGCTCAAGAGTTCTTGAGAGAGCTGAAGACAAGGCAGGAGTCATCTAATACACAAACTGTATTTGTTCCTCATGGAGCTGCCAGTGTCCCCCTTAATCTTTTCCTTCTCATTTCTTTCAAATAGTTTTTGAAACCACCCAACAGTAAAGTGTTGTGTATCCTTGGGGCTGGGGTCCAGGCATACAGTCATTATGAGGTCTTCACAGAGCAGTTCTCCTATGAGGAGGTAAGTCTAGGGCAGGCTGGGAAGTGGGAGGTGGGGGAGCTACTGTGACCTTTGTTTCTGTTCTGTCACTACAACATGGATTATGCTGAAATAGTTAGGTGGAGAATCCCATTTAGACCATTTTTTTTAATCCTCACCTGAGGGTATGTTTATTGATTTAGAGAAAGAAGAAGGGAGAGAGAGACATCGATATGAGAAACAAACATTGATCGGTTGCCTCTCATATGCTCCCTGACTGGGGATTGAACCCCCAACCTGTTGGTGTATGGGACAATGCTCCTAACAGCTGAGCCACCTGGACAGGGCTAGACCATTCTTTTAATGACCTGTCCAGAAGTCCCATTTTAGGTGAAGAGTAGGGGGAAGGCCTAAATCACCTCTTCTCAGTTTTTCAGTTCACAGGGTTTGCCTGAGGAATCAGTCAGCCTACTCAGTTAAAGGATTCTATTCTATTATATAATACACTCAGTTGTCCTTTTGGCCTTTTTCCCTGCATCTCTTAAGAGAACCTGGGAGTGTTTAAGTATTCGGAGTTATGGATCCAGGAACTGGGAATGAGACCTAGAGAGTAGGAGGCCACAGCATCCCCCTTCTCTATCCCAGATATGGGCCCACCTTTCTCTAGTTCTGGCTCACACTTCCTACTGGGAACATTTGATTCTGCTTTTATTTAATTTTTTGTATGTGTGTGAGAGGGATGGAGCAGATTTGAAGTATGATTTCATTTAGGATAAAAATTGTACCTCTGCTTTGGGAAATGGGGAATATAAGGAAAAAAAACAAAAGAAAAATGCCCTTTTATCTGTTTTCAAAAACAACAACAGTTCACATTTTCAATCTTATGTCACTAACTTTTTATAACATCATTTTAATCATGTTAGATATACAAAGTTATATATCCTGTCTGTTTATTAAATGTTCTAACATCATTATTTTACAGATTCCTTAATGTTTATATATTTGCTTAACTTTCAATCAAAAAGGGTGGTATGGTTAACCATTCTGTTATGACTGAGCATATTGTATTGGTTTTCACCTTGGTTGATGAATTTATTTAGATGTAATGTTTATATTTATTATATTTCCTTATGAGAGATTTTTTAGGTCTTATTTTCAGTTGAAGGCTAACAACCCCCTCCTCAGACATGGATATCTACTAAGCCAGCTATCAAGTCCCCAGCTCTGTAGTTACTGTAGTAATAACCTGTAGTAGTAACCTGTAGTTACTACTCTTGGCCTTGTCATCTGCTAACCACTTCTCAGATGCTTCTGATCTTTAATTCCATACATATCCTTCAGAGATCAAGTTATTCCATGCAAGGCACTGCCATAGACAAGTCCATACCTGCTATGACTCCTTTACAGGGGCTCAAACTTAAAGTGTGGCTTTCATGTTAACTTTGCCCAATTATCATTTGCATTTTACAGTCACAAAAACTTAGGCTGAATAAGGTTAAGTAATTCAAGGGTCAGTAAGTGATTCTAACCCTATCCAGATCCAGACCTTGCTCTGCTAATTATTGGGCTATGTAGTAAATTCATGTGTTGCATGTACTGAGCTAGAACTAAAAAACTTTTCCCCTTCTTTAAGAAGGAAGAGCTAGAAAAAAGTCATTTTCAAATATGTGGCCAGGTGTCTGCCCAGATTAATGGTGTATCCTTGATGAAATGTCTGTTCTCCCTAGAGGATGATTTAAATAAGCACAGCCCTGACCCTAGGGTGGTTCAGCTTTCCTTGGCACCTCTAGGCTTGATGAAATATAAAGAGCCAAACAATCATGACCCCAATGTCCCTCTTGTTACCCCCAATGAAGGTGAGGATATGGAACCGCACCAAAGAAAATGCTGAGAAGTTTGCGGACACAGTGCAAGGAGAAGTACAGGTCTGTTCATCAGTCCAGGAGGCTGTGACAGGTGCAGATGTTATCATTACAGTCACCATGGCAACAGAGCCCATTTTGTTTGGTGAATGGGTGAAGCCAGGGGCTCACATCAATGGTAAGCAGAGTGGCTTCATGAGCCATGGGTAGTTGGTGGCCAGCTCCTCCCTAAGCTAGACCAGGGAGTTGCATCTGCAGAGCTGTGTTACTCCTGCAAAATGCCTGAGCTTCTTAAGTGCTTCAGAAACATGTGAGCCCTGAAAAATAATAGTCACTGTAAAACATGAAATAAAAATCACAAAGCTGAAACTAAGACAATTTCTACATAATGTAACATTATGGCAAATGGTCAATCACAGGTCAGTTTTCAAATGTAATGAAGTTTACATGATAAGAGAAAATGATTACAGCACAAAAGACATTTAGTATGAAATGTGATTGGTTTTTAATATGTGATCAGATGGGTGCAACTCTAAACATAAGAGCTCATGGGGACTGTGAAGATCCTCAAATGGCCATAGGGTAATAGCAAGAACTATTGCAGGTGCTATTCTAAATTCTTTATGTGCATTATATATCATTTAATCCTTATAACAACTTCATAAGGTAGTAGCTATTATTACTATGATCCCCATTTTACAGATGAGTAAGCTAAGGCACAGAGAGATTAAGCCACTTGCCAACTGGCCAGAGGTCCTTAGTGGCAGACTGGGATTTGAATGGAGGCACTCTACCCTCAGAGCCCAAGCTCTTAAATACTACTCTGTATTATCTTTCAGTAAGAAAACTAGATTCTGGTAAGTGAGCAGACCAACACTAGAGAATTTAAGCATGCTATCAGGGCCCCATGTTTTAATGACAAGCATGTAGTGTGAACTCAAAACCCAAGATCTCTGTATACATTGGCAGATGAATTCGCAAAAGTCCAGTGTCATGATTATGCATTCATTCATTTACAAATGTTTATTGAATTTCAGCCATGTGCCATTACTGCTATAGATACTGGAGCTGTCACAGTAAACCAGCACTCAAGGTCACTGCTTTCCTGGCGCTTACATACTTTTGAGGGGAAATAGTGAAGAAGTAAACAAATAGGTGAACTGGAGAGTTCCAGCCAAAGATAAGTTCTGTGAAGGGAAACAAAACATGATATTTTCAGGAACTGAACAAAGCAAATTGAAGGTCTGAGCCTGCAGAAATGGAGTTATGATGGCATTCATAGGCAGGTAGTAAGTGGCTTAGCTCATAGGCAAAAGATGGATCAAGTCGGGCTTTATGGACAGTAAGACCATTTCTGAAGGGATTTGGGAAATCAAAGGAAACCAGTTCTTGGTGAAATGGACAAGAACTGAATTTTCAGCAAGACTGACTTGATGGTTTTTTTTTTTTCAGCTTAAAACAGCACATATTTATTATCTCACAGTTTCTCATTCAGGACTCTGGGTGTGGCTTATCTGGGTCCTCTGCTCACCAAGGATGAAACCAAGGTGTTATCCAGGCCACAGTTTCTTGGGGAGTGTGGAATCCTCTTCCAGGCTCACATGGGGTGGCAGATTCCTTATGCTGTAGGATGAAGGTACCCATTTCCTCGGGCACCTGTATGCTCCTAGAAGCAAACTATATGTTCCTTACCATATGCACACTCCATCTTCAAAGCCAAATAATGGTAGAATCTCTGTCACATCATATCCCTCTCACACTTGAATCTCTCCCAGTGAAAAGCCAACTTGATTTTGAGTCAAAACATCTCTTAAATTTTCCTGGCCTAAGGACAAAATTGGTTTATGTGTTCACAGAGGTGTCAAGTATACTTAAGAAAAGTGTGTTATAAGTGCAGCTAACAGGGAAATGCCAACAACAGATTTGACTTACTTTACATTCTGGTGGAGAGGTAGACTCAGTTCCAGCCCCCCTCCACTTGCATCATGCCACTCATGCCCCACCACCCAGTGTGTGACCCTCATCCATTCTATCCCCCTAAAGCAAGGTCATAGTCCAACCTGAACCAGGACTCCCTTTGCTACCTGGCCACTACTCTATCTGACTGAGTGGCCTCAAACAGCCCCCTGAGAATTCGCCCTGCCCAGAAGAATGTGGGGAACAGAGCAATGAGAAGAGGTGGTCTAAGAGGCTGGGGTTTTTCCCATCACCTGGTGATTTATTTATAAGCTTCATTAGTGATTTTATTCTGTAGACATCCTCACACAAACAACCTTCAAGAATTTTCCTTCAAGAGAGTAGACATTTCTACCACTCTCTTTGAAAATTAGAGTATCAGACTTTCTGTCTTAAACCATTTTGCCTCCCCTCTCCAACTGATCATAAAAAAGAGTAGGTGGAAGCTGAGAACACCAGGATACCCACTGGAAGAGGAAACCCAACAACAAAGGAACCACCAATAGGTAACAACAGAAGAAGGTGAAGGAGGGAGTGGAAGCCACACTAATCTCAATCTAGGAACTACCTGTAAATACAATGAAATAGTAGAGAAATTACCCAGAACAAACAATTGAACAAGAGCAAGGGAGAATCCTCAAAACCTTGTACACATGGAAGAACCACCCTCAAAACAACCTGCCCGCACCAGCACAATAAAATACAGAAGGTGGTGGACTCAGTTAACCAGCTGGTCGGAAGGAACCACCAAACAAAGACCCAACAACAATCAAAACCCAAAGACAAACAGAGCCAACTTAAACAACAGCCCAAGACCTGTGAGCTCAGGAGATCAAGGAGACTGCACCACTGAATCTCACAGGTCTTCTACCATAGAAGTTCAAACCATAAACCCAGGAAGTCACAACAGATCAATTTAAGAAGCTGAGGCTAACAAGAGGAGTCTCACAAACAATGGAAGACAAAGAAACAGTCTCCAAATGAAAGGAAAGGAGGAAGCCTCCAAACAAATGCTAAATGAAATAGAGGCAAGTCAACTATCAGATATTGAGTTCAAAGCAATGATTATCAGGAAGCTCAATGAGCTCACAGTGAATTACCAGAAACTACAGGGAAACTACAATGAACTCACTGCAAACTATATCCACATGAAAAGGGAAATAGAAAGTATCAACAAGGGCCAAGAGGAAATGAAGAATACAATTTCTGAACTGAAGAACACACTAGAAGGAATCAAAAGTAGGATCAATAAAAGAGAAGATCGGATCAGTGAGCTGGAGGACAAAGTAGAAACAAAAAAAAAACATCCAGAAAGAGCCAGAAAGGGAAAAGGGGCTCAGAAAGAATGAAGAGGGATTAAGAGAAATGAAAGAAAATATGAAACATAATAATATCCATATAATAGGGATACCAGAAGGAGAAGAAGAAGAGCAAGGGATAGAAAACCTATTTGAAAAAGTAATGATGGAAAACTTCCCTAATTTGATGAGAGAAAAAGGCACACAAATCCAGGAAACACAGAGTCCCAATCAAGAGGAACCCAAAGAGGCCCACTTCAAGACACACCATAATTAAAATGACAAAATTCCAAGATAAAGAGAAAATCTTAAAGGCAGCAAGGAAAAATAGGAAGTAACATACAAGGGAGCCCCAATAAGACTAGCAGCTGACTTCTCAGTGGAAATGTTCCAAGCCACAAGAGAATGGCAAGAAATATTCCAGGTAATGAGAACCAGAGGCTACAACCAAGGCTACTTTACCCAGCAAGGCTCTCAATCAAGATAGAAGGCCAAATAAGGAGCCTCCAAGACAAAAGAAGTCTAAAAGAATACACATCCACCAAACCACCTTTGAAAGAGATGCTAAAGGGACTGCTTTAAAAAAAAGAAGGAAAAGAAAGAGAGGAACACAGGTATGAAAATGGCAATGAATAAGTACCTATCAACAATAACCTTAAATGTAAATGGATTAAATGCTCCAATCAAAAGACATAGACTAGCTGAATGAATAAGAAAGCATAACCCACACATATGTTGCCTAAAAGAGACCCACCTCAGGACAAAAGATGTACACAGACTGAAAGTGAAGGGCTGGAAACAAACTTTCTAAGCAAATAGACAGGGAAAAAAAAGCTGGGGTAGCAATATTCATATTAGACAAAATGGACTTCAAAAAAAGTACCAACTGAATATTTGTCAATGATACCTCAGACAAGGGTTTCATCTCCAAAATATATAAAGAACTCGCACAACTCCACTCTAAGAAGACAAGCAAACCCATTAAAAAATGGGCAAAGAACTTGAACAGACACTTCTCCAAGGAGGACACACAGAGGATCCAGAGACACATGTAAAGATGCTCAATATTGCTAGCTATCAGAGAGATGCAAATTAAAACCACAATGGGATACCACTTCATATTGGTCAGAATGGCCATCATAAACAAACAGCAAGTGTTGGAGAAGTTGTGGAGAACAGGGAACCCTATTGCACCGTTGGTGCGATTGCAGACTGGTACAACCACTATGGAAAACAGTATGGAATTTCCTCAGAAAACTGAAAATTGATCTGCCTTTTGACCCAGCAATTCCACTGCTAGGATTATATCCTAAGAACTCTGAAACACCAATCCAAAAGTACCTATGCACCCCAATGTTCATAGCAGCACAATTTACAATAGATAAGTCCTGGAAGCAACCTAGATGCCCATCAGTAAATGAATGGATCAAAAAACTATCGTAAATTTACACAATGGAATTCTCTGCAGCAGAAAGAAAGGAGCTCCTACCCTTTGTGACAGCATGGATGGAACTGGAAAGCATTATGCTAAGTGAAATAAGCCAGATATAAGACAAATACCATATGATCTCACCTTTAACAGGAACCTAATCAACACAACAAACAAACAAGCAAAATATAATCCAAGACACTGAAGTAGAGAACAGGGTGACAGTGACCAGAGGGGAGAGGGGAGGGAATTTCAGGGGGAAAGGGGAAGGGTTTACAGGAACAAATATAGAGGACACATGGACAAAAACAAGGGGTGGGGGTGGAAATGGGAGGTAGGTGGGGAGGGCTCGAGTGGTGGGCTGGGATGGGAATAAAAGGCAGAAATCTGTATTTGAACAATAATTAAAATAACAAAAATAAAGAAAATTAGAGTAGGGGAGAACAGCAAGGGAAAGAACAATCAGAGAAATCTGCAAGGCATGTAATGCTGCCTTATATTGGAATAAGATTTTACAGCACTTTCCCCAGGATGACTGGTCCTGGGCTGGATCAGACAGCAGATGTGTTTTGTTTGGACCATAGAATATTCTAAAAATCAAGAAATAACCCATTGAAATAGATTTCCTGCTTTGAAAAAAAAAAGAATTAGAGTAACTAGCAGTGGACCTGCATTCTCACATGCCTGCAGGTATCTGGAGCTGACCAATGCCTGCCCCCTTTAGAAGGATCTGCTTTCTTCTGTCTAGTTGGGTCTCCTCCATTTCCAATCCCATCCCATCTGCTCATAGTCATCACCTGCCTGGGCCTGCCGGTGTCTGGTTGCAGCCTGTACCTTATCCTAGTTACTTGTGCCAGGAGTCATCATTATGGTTCAGGCTCTGCAGAGGACATGAACACTTGTCACCTGTTTGCTTTTTACTGGAAACTCTCCATGACTCTGACAGCAGGCTCTCTCATCACACTTAAGAGATAGTGGTTGGGGGTGAGGAGCAGGAATGATGAATAAGCAAACCGATAGAGGAGTGTGAGGTATAAAGGCACTGCACATGATGTTTGTTTTGGGGTTTAGGAAAGGAAGTCACTGCCCCCACAAATAGAAGCAGCATGAAAGGAATGGCACTGTTTTGGAGCCACAGGTATACATGCATTAGATATATAACCTTGACAAGCACTTTAATTTCTTTGAGCCCTAGTTAGTGCATCTTTCAAATGGGAATCAGACATGAAGTGAACTTGTAGGGACTATAAATAGGATATGTGAAACATCTCACAGATAGTAGGTATCCAATAAATGAAAGCAAAGTTACCTCACAATATTTTAGGAATAAAATAGGATATGAAGTGGAAAGGCAAGAAATGGCAGGTGTTATTCTTGTTAATGTGTAACCGGTGTTGCCGATTGAGAGGTGTTGGCCTAGAGACATGAGACATTCTGAATCTGAGTATATCCACACATCCTCTCTCACCATATTTCCCCACCTGTCTTCCATTCTTGAGTGTGTTTAATATCCCTCATGACTGTTTCTGGGCTCAGGGTCTGTTTGCTGTTTCTCAGCTATTGGAGCCAGCAGGCCTGACTGGAGGGAGCTGGATGATCAGCTGATGAAGCAGTCTGTGCTGTATGTGGATTCCCGGGAAGCGGCCCTTAGAGAGTCTGGAGACATTCTCCTGTCCGGGGTGAGCCTCCTGTACTGTAGCTGCTTCTCAGATGGCCTTGCTGGGGTCCCAGGCTTACATTAACTTCCCCTTCTCTTTGGCTTGCTCCAGACTTCATTCACCCCCAACTCTTTGTAGGGTGGGAGAGTCTAAACATATCAATCATTCCTAATCCCCTCTCAGAATAATATGGCCATTTTGCTGGTTCCATGTGTACTTTTTATCCCTTTTGCCTACAGAGAAAAGCTTGCTGGATTTTTTCATTGGACTGGGCTGTCCTATAAAGTAGTAGGATTAGGAGATGAGGTCTGTTGCAGCCAGAAAACCTTCCCAATGTGGCCAACAAAATAGGACTATGGTTGGCCACATTTGACCTTCTTTTTCATTTGTAATCAGGGCATGTAAGCCAGAAGGGGACTGCCAAAATTAGTGATAACATAAGAACATGCCTATTTCCTACTGACACAGGATCCTGGCAGGACATTTCCTGGCCACAGACTTGTATCTTTGCATTCACGGTATCACAAAGGCAGAATGTACCCAGAAAGGTTTCTAGGGGGAAGCATCCCCGTGACATCATCCAGTTTTCAAGTGGTCTATCAAATTTATCTTTTATCCAGTTCAAGGATGCCCTCCTGCCTGGCTGTATAAGCCAGCTGGAGCATACATGAGCTCCATGGCCTGGGCCCATGTGTATTCACTTCACAGGCTGAGATCTTTGCTGAACTGGGAGAAGTGGTGAAGGGAATGAAGCCAGCCTACTGTGAGAAGACCACAGTGTTCAAGTCTTTGGGTAAGGGCCATTTGTCCCAGGGCACAAATCTAACTAGGTCAACAAGGCAGGTTTTTGTCCATTGGTGGGAGGAGGAATGAGTCACCAGTTTCCATGATTGACTCATTATGAAATCACTTGGGTCAGTTATTTACATGTCTTAGTGTAGTGATTAAGCCCATGAACTCTGGAATCAGGTAGTCCCTGGATGGATTCTCTTCTCTGCCACTCCTTGGACATACATCCTTGGGTAAGTGACCTCACCTCTCTAAGCTGCTGTTTCTTTACCATATGTTACCTTGAGTTTTTGTGAATATTACGTGATGTATGCATGTAAAATGATTTGCACACAGCAAGCATCAGCAGTCCATCATTTAGACCTATGTCTAAATGAAGCTACCCTTCAGAGGCGGGAGGTGAGGGATAAAAAAGTTAAAATATGGAGAGCTTAAGGGAGATGTCAGGGATGCCCAATGTGAGAGGGACTCAGATAAGAAATATAGCCTGTGACTGCTTTTTGCCCTTCTTCTCTACCCTCCCACTTGCTGGTTTGAGTAGAGCTTCCACAGGGAGCCCCAGTACCACCTGAGTTGGTATAGGCAGAAGTCCAACAGAGGATGGTCTCAGTCTTCCCATAAGCCCAGCCCTCTCACCACACCAGATTTAAGGAGATGTACATACATAGAAACAGCTGGTATTCAGCTGATATACTTAAAATATTGAAATACTCCCAAACTGGTTATAAACAAGTGACTGCTCCTCAAGAATGCCCACTTTCCCTCTGTAAAGATCTGTATTTCTTAAGATCAAGCTCCAAAGCCTCAGTTCTCAGCAGAACATGAAGAATGCTCTTTGCCACCTACATTCATACCAGTGGGTCATTATTGGTGGCTTGCTAGCTGGTAATATTTTTTAAATCTCTCATGCACAGAGAGACAGGCAAAGGCAGTATAAGCTTTACCCAGATTCTGGTTCAAAGACATCACACTGATCCAGTTGTGTCTGAAAGTCTTTGAGTTCATAACAGATCAGAGGTCAGCCAACTCCTACAGGAAACAGAACGCTACAGAAAACTGCTTTATGCTCTTGAGTGATTGCTGTTTTCTCATTTTTGGGACTGGTTTATTGGCACATCCTTCCATCTAGCAGGTGCATATTAAACACCTATTATGTGTTAGGCTCCATACTAGATGCAGTGGTGGCTACAAAAAATAGTAAACACCAGACTCTGTCCTTGAAGAACCTATACCCATTCAAGGTTAAAATATGTATCTAAAATGACAAGACAAAGTGGGGTCACTGAGGGGTTCAGAGTTTGAACTAGAACAGGAGTCAGCAAACTACAACCTGTGAAGCAAACCTGGCCCACCACTTACTTTTGTACAACCAGCAAGCTAGGAATAGTTTTTACATTTTCAAATGTTTGGTGCGGGGTGGGTGAGTTGAACAAGATTTTGTGACACATGAGCATTATATGAAATTCAATTTTTCATGTCCATAAAGAAGTCTGATTGGAACACAGTTCATTTTTTTTTTTACCTATTGTTCATGCTGCTTCTGCACTAACTACAAAGGCTGAGTTGAGTGATTGCAACAGATACCATATATGGCCCCCAAAACCTAAAATATTTACCATCTGGCCCCTTACTGAAAGTTTTCTGACCCCTGAATTAAACTTTGAATGATGCTTAAAATTTGTTTGGTGGGCATTTCTTGCTTCATTTCATATTCTATGCCTTGTCCTGCCCTTAGCAGACTCTAAGCCTGAATTTACCTGGATGTCAGTCTTTGTTACCCTGGTAGATGTAAGCACCATGGATAGTGCATCCAGAAACTCTTGGTCCCAGGGCTGTTTCAGGAAAAGCTGTTCTGACAAAAAGTGAACCAAATTTCTCTCCATTCCAGGAATGGCGGTGGAAGACACTGTTGCAGCCAAATTAGTGTATGATTCCTGGTCATCTGGTAAATAAAACGAAGCAATGTTGTGTTAAACATGGATGCTGCAGCTCAAGAGGTGTTGCTTCCAGTTGTCTCATAATTTCTAAATCAAAAGAGGGAACCCTGTGCACAGAGATCTATAGTTTTGTGCTCATCATGTCTTATCTTAAATAATGAGATCCACATTTGTGTTTGTATTTAGTGAAATTAGGTGGTCATCCCTTCTTTTATGCCATATTACAGCAACACTTGCCTTTCCAGGTATTTCATGGGTTTTTGTTATTTCTGGAAATAAAGCAATTTTTCACTTCTGCAGTTCTTGCTTTGATTACTTCTAGCCCTGATGGCAAGGAAAGTGAAGGGATCGGGTGTTCCCATTCACTCATGGGGAGCTCCGATAACTATAATTATTTTTTCTATTTTTTAAATTGAGATACAATTTATATACCATAAAATTCACCAGTTTGAAGTGTACAGTTCAGTGGTTTTTAGTGCATTCACAGGTGTGTGCAACCATCACCACTGTTTAATTCCAGAACATTTTCATCACCATCAAAGGAAACTCCATACCCACTATCAGTCATCTCTCATTCCCCATTCTTCTCAACCCCTGGCAACCACTAATATATTTTCTATCTTTATGTATTTTCCTCTTCCGGACATTTCATAGAAGTGGAATTATACATTATGTAGTATTTTGTTTTTCACTTTCTACAGTTGAAGTTTAAAGGAACAATTAATTCAGCTTTCATATTGGCAAAGGCTCCTTTGGTCACAAGTAGTAGAGACCACCACTCAAACTACCTTCAGCTGAGTCAGTGAATGAGGAGTAGAATGATTGACTCTTGTTATTAAGAAGCACCAGATGATGGTTTCAGGTATAGCTGCATCCAGGGATTCAAAGTGTCAGCAGGACTGTCTTGCTCTCTCCACCTCCCACCTCTGTTCTTGTGGCTTCATTATAAAGCAAGTTTTCCCCTGGTAGTGGCAGGATGCTTGCCAGCAGCTCCTGAATAAGTCTGTCATCTCCAGCAACCCCAGCAGAAATAGAGATTCTCCTCAATAGTTAAAAGTCCCAGAACTGAGACTCACTGGACCATCTCGATCACATGCCTAACTCTGTGCCTAACATCATGGCTAAAATAGATGGAATACTCTGGCTTACATTGTGTAAGACAGAACCTGGCTTCTTTGATAGGGAAGTGGGAACCCTTTACTTGGCCTCATTTGCTCCCTGACACCTAAGACCCAAGTTAATTCTGACTGTTTTGTTTATATATTTTGAACCAATCTTTGGGATAATCACAGACATAGTATTTACTCTTTAATTGCAAGAACAGGACATGTTGAGGGAATTGTAGATAAGCTTATGGAGTCTACGAGCTAGGATATCTTAATTAAAATAAATTGCAAATATTCAAAAACCTACAAGTTAACCTTCTAATAACCTGCCCTGGCCTCACAGAAGTTTATGTTATTCACTGTGATAAAGGGATTATATTTGCTTCCTTCTTTTTAACCCAGCAATTTGATGGAATTTTTATATAAGGTTTTTAAATCCATGTATCCTTCAAATTTATACTCCTTTATTTCATCACAGAATTGACACGAATGCCAAGAGGATGGTTATGGTGAGAGCTTTCAGTTCTACTGGCAAATATACACACCTCTTCCCATATTTTTTTAACAAATTGCTACCCCTCTCCCTCCAGTAGAGCAGCATGGAAAATTCCATCTAGAAATGATCAACTCAATAAAGCAATTAGAACTAATTCCTACAGAGCTGACTTCCAATAACATTTCCACTGGCCTGCTTTATCTTGTTCTCTCAAAGCACACCTTTACATTTCCATAACTCTATATTCTATTCTTCAAATAGCAATGTGGGTTTCCAGCTCAAAATTCCTTGTACCACCTCACACTGCCTCTCATTTGCTAGAATATGTCACCAGCCTTTCTAAATCCCTTTTACCTCTGACAGTGATACAAAGCTCTATTGGAAAGCATCCTTTTTGTTAACAGCAGTACTTTCTTAGTGGCTTCTACTTTTATATCTTGGCAACAAGTGCCTCATCAGGAATATTTTAGGAAGTACCCAGGTCCTGGCACCTACAGTAATAAAGTCCTAATGCCACAATTGTTTTTGAGGACTTCTATGTGACAGCTGCTTCTTGCACATTATAGAAAGCAAATACAACTTCAATTTATTCCAACCAACAAAATGCAGTATTTGTAAACATAATTGTTCCTTAGGGCAGCATTTTTATTCGAAGACTGACAGCCTCTCTGAATCCATGCATTGTGGGAGAATGAACCAATTGTTCATCAGATTTCAGCACCTGTATCCTCCCTAAGCTTATGTCCTCCATGGTGTTTCCTGAAATAACCCAAACAGATGTGAGTCAGGAAGCATGCTCAAGAAACAACTGTTTCTATTTTATACACATAGTTGATGGTAAATTTCACTTGATGTAAGTCTGGCTTTAAAAATCCAATGAAGCTTAGCTATTCAGTAGGGTTTTGATTTGAATTTGACATTGTCACTCAAAAAATGTCAGCAGCAATGTTGCAAATTTATATTATAGTATACTTGAATTTAGACATGTAGCAATGATGATAGCAGTAAAAAAAAAAGCACATAATGAGCATGAAAACGTAAAATTTACTTTTACAATCAAGTTTTCCCTACCAAGAATCTAGATTTTTTCTTCCTATGTTTTTTAAAGTTGGAGGAGATACTTACCCTTAGAAAAATCATCAAGTATGCCAGACTTTTTTTCCCATGTATTTTTCTTCTTTCCCACCCCCTTGCTTAGGCACTATTTTAGTCTGCTCATGCTGCCATAACAAACTACCACAAACTGTGTGGCATGAACAATAGACATTTATTTTGTTACATTTCTAAAGGCTGAAAGGTCAAGATCAAAGTGTTGACAGATCTGATGTCTCCTGAGGCCTCTCCTCTTGGCTTGCAGATGGCCGTCCTCTTGCTGTGTCCTCACAGGGCCTTTTCTTTGTGCATGTACATCCCTGGTATCTGTTCTTCTTAAAGGACAAGAGTTATATGGGATTAGGGCCCCACACTTATGACCCCATCTAACTTAACAAAGGTACTATCTCCAGATACAGTTGTATTGGATGGGGCTTCAGTACATGAATTTGGGGAAAAACAATTTTGTTCATAGTAGGTATCCTATATTCTATTTTTCTCTTCATTCTCCCTACCTCATATTCTGTTCTCAGGTGGGGGTACTATAGATCCATTTTCATTACTTGTAAACCTGCAGACATCTGTTAAAAGTTTAGACACATTTAAGTTGGGTATCAAATCTTAGGCCAATAGAGGAATTTTAATTTCCACCAACAAAGTGTAGAGCTAAGGGCAGAATTGGAGTTGGAATCCCCGGAGCATGAAAATCAGAAAGTGAAAAGCAGTGTGTTGAGAGATTATAATCTTAAATCCAGAGTTGGAAAAGTAAAGAGAGTTTTTCCTCTTATCCCTCATACATTTAACCCTTTCTAGATTCAAAAATATTAAAAAGATAATCAAAGGGAAATGCCAGTTTTTATTCCCATGTCTCCTTGAGTTTCTCGCTGGTGGTTTATTTTCTCTATAGGTATAGAGAATTTCTCAAAGTAGAGCTTGGGCCTCTTTTTTAGGTGGGCAATTCCAAGAGCTCAGACATCATACCCAGTGGTTTGGCATTCAGTAGAGAGAAGGTATTGCCTGGAGTGCTTCCAGTAGACCACAGCATCACCCCACTGTTGCATGCTCACCCTGTTTGGCCAACACTCGGTCACAGGCTGGTGTCGACCAGTTGCCCAGGCTGTTGGAGCACTTGCTTCCTTCTGTTTATGGCATTGAGAACTTTCTTCCTGGGACCCAACTGCATTTGGATGCTCTGAAGATCCTCATCAGAGCAAAGCAACAGAGCTTCTAGATCAATCTGCTCTCTCATAAAAAAGGAAAGAAATTTTTCCAGGTGGTGAGACTGTAAGAATACTTCAAGGGGTGTAGCATCAACCATGTCTTCCTCCCACTCCATTGCATCCTCATCCCAGGGCAGGTCATCTTTCAGGCTGTTCTCCTCTCCCTCCTCACCAGCCACCAGTTCATCAACCTGTGCTGCTCCTTGTCTCTGAAGCAATTCACTGGACATTTTAAACTCTAACTCCTTCTTGGTATCTGAGATGTCTTCAGGGCTTGTTATTCTGTTCCTTCTAAAAACAATATTTCCTAGTCCTGGACGGCTGAGAATGGATTCATGTTGCACACAGCTGCCCTCTGCTGAAACCTGGAGCTTCTCTTTGAAATCCCCTGAGAATGTGTCTTCTTCTTCCTCTCTGAACATATCCATCACATTCCTCTGCTCATTTCTGCACTCCTTCTCTACCTGCTCTGATGTATCTTTATTCTTCTTGAACTTTATCTTGAAGGTACCTTTAATGCCCTTAGACAGTGACCCAAATGTGCTAGAAGCAGAAGCATTTGAAAGGGATGATCTGGAAAAAGTGCTCTTGGAAGAAAAAGTACCAGATTCCTCTCTATAGGTGCGGGCCATCTTATTTTCATGCTTCTCCTGGAGCCTCTCACACTCTTTGATCTGCCTCCTGGCATTCTTCTGAGACTGCTCCTTCAGCTTGGTGACCTTCTTGGGGTTCATGATGTTCTGGGCAGTAGCTGCCTTATCCAGGAGAGAAACACATTCATTCTGCTCTCTGCTAGCAGCAGCATCCAGTGGAGACTGTAAGTCATTGTCCAAGGCAAAGATGTTGGCACCAAAGTTGATTAGGAATGAGACACAGTGGGCATGGCCATTGGAGGCTGCGTAATGTAGAGGAGTGTTTCCCCAGATGTCACATCTATCAGGGTCCCCCCTAGAAAAGAAAATATCAAAAACACATGCTAATTTTTTCTCTGAACAGAAGGTGCAAAAAGTTAAAGAACAAAATGCATGTTAATCCTGACTTGGCACTATTAGAAGATAACTTCTGAAAGTCCAGACAACAGACATCATATGGTCAGAAACAAGAAGAGCCCATCTCTACCCTGGGTCTTATTTTTTAAATCAGGAAAAGATTTCCAAAACACTCCCTCAAAAAACGACTTTCATGTCTTATTGGCCTGAATTGAGTCACATGCTTAATGAGAAGGAAATAGAACTACCATGTTTAACTAAGATTAATGGAAATTTCTGGACCTCTGGTCAAGATGGTGGCATAGACAGGCATGGCTTGCCTCTTCATACAACCACATCAAAATTACAACCAAAACATAGAACAACCATTACTCAGAACTGTCAGAAATTAAGTTG